AAAATTAAACCTTATTTTCAATAAGCAATCCTGAAAAATATTTGGGGGTGCTTAACTTTTTTCCAGGTGTATAGTATTAATACACAGTACTGATTCAAGCACATTAACTATATTCAATGTGTAAATAACAAGAAACTAGGTTTGTTTCCTTTGTTACCTAAAACAATACTTTTGTTAGGAAAGTTAACATTTTCCTATACTGAAAATGTATTTCCAATAATACTTACCTCCTCTCACGCTTTAGCATTTTCTCGATGAAAGTTTCTTTTCTCTGCCCATCTAATCATTGGTATGAATCTTACCTTGTTTGCTCCAGCTTTTATATCCCACTATATTGCCAATAGAATTTCAAATCTTGTGACTTTCTCCACCTACATCAATGCGTCCCCATACCAAATCTGTATACAATCCCCATTATTTACTTCTTATTCACTTTTTCCGATGGTCTAAATTAACAAAACCAAAACCAGCCATTTCTTAGGAAGGACGGATGTTAGAGGAAGTAAGTATTATTGGAAATACATTTTTGGTATAGGAAAATATTAACTTCCAAAACACACTTATCTCTTCTCATACTTTAGGTAGAATCCCATATTGACATGGTGGAGGGACTGATGAGAATAAGGTCCACACAGATGCTTTCTGTGTGGAAAAGAGGTGTGCGAAAATGAAATACAATAATAGTACACCAGTGGGGTATGCTGTATTTCTGGAACAGGTATGCTCTTCACCCAGAAAAAATGAAATCTAATTCCTGGGTGGTAAAGGCCGACTGGCCACAGAGGCAAAATTGTAATATCTAGAAAAACATGCATTCGTCCAGGCCCTAACCAGGCAGATGAGATCCTACATCTCCTCAATGGAATTATAGGGCTGTGGACTCACATCAAGATCCAAGATGTAGTGGCTAGGTCATGAGGACCACTTTATATTTGGTCTTGTTTAGTAATTGGGTATTATTGGAGCCTACCCTTAAAGTTACAGAATGTTTCATATCGAGCCACCAGAATTATGATGAGAAGGCAAGCAACACAAAAATGGACAAACCCTCACCCTAACCTGAAGAAGTGCATAGTGCAACAAACTGAAATCAGAATTACAGGATCTGTCACACCTCACTAAATCTGAAAGAACAGAGATTACTCGATCTGGGATTACGAACTAAAATCCTAACTCCCAACCCGAGAAGCAAGAAAACACCTCCTAATCCCCAGAATTATGAGGAGGACATGGAACAAACTAAGTTCAACCAATGACACAGGAAGTGACACTCTGTCTGTGGAATTACAAAGAGTCGAGGATCCTCTTCCATGATCATTGAAATAAAGAAAATTACCCCCCCAAAAAGGGCCAAGCACAACTCAATCGGATAGTGAAGAGTCGTCTCTGAACTTGAATTATGATCAGGTTCCCATGCAAACTGGTCCTGCTCCTACCATACAGGGTTATTAGTAGGAGGGCACCCAGCTTTGCTCTCTTCTCCTTGAGTGGAATAATGAGTACAAGCACTTAGAAGTAATAAACCTCTGTCCACCATTCCAGTGACTGAAAAATTGGAGTGGTAAGGGCTCTCATGATCCACTAGGAGAAGTGGGGGAATATTCACATTGGGGAGTCCCGAGTAACGATGCCCAGTCGACAGTGCAATAGATGAACCACGTTCCATATTTTGAAAAGCAAACTGATGCCAATTTATTCCATCTAGGGGCCAGCAGTGGCAGGCAAAATTCCCTTAAGCTTTACTCATGATAGTCCATGAGTGGCGGTCCAGTAGTCTATGTGTCTTTGTGTTAAAATTGTGTACTACGCGGAAAGTATACAAGGTGTCTTATGGAACACCCCATCTCAACAGAGCTCATTGCTACCAGGAAAATTTAAAATAATTTGACTGGTAGCTAGTGTACAATCATCTTAAGAAAAAAAAACCCTATATCATTTATTTTCCTGAAAATATATTTCAGATATATACTTACTTTTCTGTACCATTAAGAGCTACTCCCTCACACACAACTACCATAAAATTTCATGTGTATGCCACAAGACTGGAACGAACCCTCCCCTACACATGCTTCCATGCATTTCACCAGCCTATGATATAATTGCCATAATGCTGTAGCACTCCACCAATAGGAGGGTGATACAACTTTCATGCTCATAATCCATGTGAGCATTAGCACATGATTGTAGGCTCATTCTTGATGAGGCAAAGAAAATGCACTGGAAGTGGGGAGGAAGGGTGGGGGACTACTTATCTCTCTACACCACTAAAACTAGAATCCTACATTGAAAATGTTATAGTGGACAGCACAGACCAATTACAAAGATGACATCTTTTCTGACATAGCAACAAAAAGAGAAAGCCCATGGGGTGTGATTTCCATGAGACCTGGGGTCACCAAGTGAAGTAGCATCTGGTGGGAGACAACATCCTTTTTAAGCAAAGAATGCTGTTTGCCCAATTTGTTATTAATTATTCAGTCATATATTTCACTTACATTACATGTACAGTAAAGGATATCAAGTAAATTCAGTGCTAGTGGTGATTTGTAATGTGTCACAAAGGTGAATGCAACATGAGAAAGTTTTGTGTGACTAGGACTTTAAGCCATCCCATCATTGTGAAATAATTACGAGATAGATATCGTAATGACATGTGGAGGAAGGAGGAGCTCTTGCTTACATCCTGAAGCAAATCCAAGTCTCATCCATCTGGACATATCCATTAGAAACTGTTTGGAATTGTGGAAGTAAGGGTTTTCTCGTGATTCACTACAAGAACAGAGGAAGAGGAATACATATCAGGGAGATCAATGGAAAGTGTACATGGACCACAGTTAAGAGAGTGTAATGAGTTACTACAATGAAAGACAGTAACCAAGAGCCAGGTTTAAAGGCAGGACTATTCCTGTGCTGTCTGTTTTTGTTTGTTTTTTTTGGTAAAAGGTTCAAAAACGACCATGTCAATTATATAGATACTGCCAAAACAGTTTTGTAGAAAACTCCATTTCAACAGTGAGCACTGAACAGGAGCAGATGGGTTTAACATTTTCTGTTCTCCACCACTCGATGGAAATTTCAGGTAACTGTGAGACAACATTGGCTACTCAGTGGGTTCCGATGGCACCAAGCATAAGGAACATAGGATCTAGTTCTTTATGTAATAACATATAATCTGGTGAGTCTTGCCTCCTCCTGTTCATTTTTTTCCATGAGGAACTTGCAATATATTGGAATATGTACAAAACAATGGTACACATATAGAGGTGTCATGAAACATATCAATGACATGGAGATGACTGAAAAAACACACCATATTAGTAACTCTTGGCAGCTTGGAGAATGATGACTTGGGGATGTTAAAACCAGAGGCACATGAAACTGCCCAATGATGTATGAAATGGGAGATGAATGCATTAAACATACCAGCCTGCAAGATCTCCTCGAAAGGCTGGTGATGAAATAGGGAAGAGGAGCTGCGATATGCTGAATCTGGTGAGTGTAAACACAAAATAGTCGAACTCACTAAATGGATATGTGAGACGAACAAGCTCTGATCCGAACCAGTTAAAGTGGAAGAGGACAAGACCCGAGAGGATGATAGTAGTTTCCATGAAAAGGGGCAGTCTGAGCATGACAATAATAGACAGCCCATACAGAACACAAAAGACTATCAGGACCAGAATGATTATATAATGAGGAAACAGTGGGGAGAGAGATGGGAGAAAACATTCAATGACTTTCTCAGGCAGCCCAAGTCTTTGGAAGAAAGGAATGACCCAGAAACAACATCAACCAGACCCTATGATAAGAGTAAGGATATGTCCAAAGTGCAAATGTCTGAACAATGATGACCATAAGCAAGTAGAAGAAAATATATTTTTATAGAAGGCAAAAGGCTCAAACGGAAGAGGGCATATAAAAGCCCAATAAATCCCATACATGAAAACAAAAGCATGATAC